CTCCAAGCCGCGCCGCACCAGGCGGGAGACGTATAATTTTCCAAATGCCTAGCATAAGTTATTCGTAATGTTATCTAAACCTCGTTCACTTCTTTCAACAGAATTACCGCTCTCAGATACTAGCAATGCGAGCACTAACGACTCTTCTAGGTTAAATACGCATCACTCCCAGCGAGGACGTTTGTAACGCGTATTCCGATCGAGTGTCTCCGAGTCCGCGACGCGACCGTGCTGATGGCGCGAATGCATAGTTTCTCCACGTCAGCCCTCCCTTCAGCCATCGTTTCAGCCACGTCGTCCGTCACGTCAGCCATCACGTCAGCCACGTCAGCCGTCACGTCAGCCACGTCAGCCATCGCATCAGCCGTCCCTACGCTCCCTTCAGCCGCGCCAACGGCCCTCTTGTCCGCCATTCTGACGGCCCTCCCTGCACTCCTGCTCATCCGCGCGGCGTCAGGACAACCAGACGGCTACCCAATAATAGAATACCCCAACTGCCCGATTACTGGCCAGCGCCCCGAGAACATCGAGACGGCTTATATCGAGGCGTCTGGTGTCGGACCGGCTAGTATTGGAGCGGCCGTGTGGCAGCGCCGGTGCACGACGGAAGACAACATGACGTGCTGCGGGCTGTGCGGGGGAGAGGAGCTCGCGCTGCGATACATCCGATCCAACGTCTCTCTCGCGATCAGCGCGCTCGGCGCCAACGCCACCGCTGCTGCTCGTAAACTCATCGACCTCTCCAACCCGCCCTCTGTGAGAGTGGCTCTGTAAAGTTGGGGTTGTGGGTGAGCTGGGGTTGTGGGTGAGCTGGGGTTGTGGTGAGCTGGGGTTGTGGGTGAGCTGGGGTTGTGGGTGAGCTGGGGTTGTGGGTGAGCTGGGGTTGTGGGTGAGCTGGGGTTGTGGGTGAGCTGGGGTTGTGGGTGAGCTAGGGTTGTGGGTGAGCTGGGGCTGCGGGTGAGCTGGGGCTGCGGGTGAGCCGGGCTGTGGGTCCGCGGACCGACCACTGCTACTGCTGCTCTTGGACTCATCGACCTGCCCAACCCGCCCTCTGTGAGTGTGCTGCTGCTGCTGCGGGCTGAGGAGCCTCCCTCTGTGGGGGAGAGGAGCTCGCGCTGAGATACATCTGATCCAACGTCTCTCTCGCGATAGAAGCCCTGGTCTCCAACGCTAGCACTGCTGCTCCCTCCCTCCCTCTCTATCCCACCTCCCTTTGTGAGGACGCGTCCCCTACCCGCGATAGGTCGTGCGTAGGATCGATCCCCGGCGTCTACAGTGCAACTGTAGCTTAGCAGTCAACGGGATTACCCTATTTCGGCAACGTTAGCGAATATACAGCAACATGTGCCAGACGAGCCTGTCACCTCCGTTTTTGGCGATCATCTGCCTCTGATTCGCTGCCTCTCTGCCTCTCTGCCTCTCAAACTCTGACTCTCATCCTCTGCCTCTCTCCTCCCGCCCACCAGGCATGTGAGGCCTTGCAGGGCTATCCTCTCTGCACACATCTGCTCCTCGACCTCTCCCTCTCTTCTCCTCCCCTCCTCTCTCCTCTCTCTCCTCCCGCCCACCAGGCATGTGAAGCCTTGCAGGGCTATCCGCTCTGCGCACATCTGCTCGAAATGGTCATGTGCACTGCCGTCTGTGACGCAGGTACCACCATCTATCCTCCTCTCTTTCCTCTCCTTCGTCTCTATCCTGTCCCTCCGTTCCCTCCTCTTTCTCCTATTTCTCCTCTTATCCACTCTTGCCCTCATCTGCTCGAAATGGTACCGTCTGGGATGCACGTACCTCCACCTTTCCTCCCACTCCCTCCCTCCTTTCACCTGCCTTTGTCACTCATAGTGTTGTCTTCTCTGCGTCTGTCCCTTCTGGTTTTGTCCTTTCTCGTTTGTCGCTTCTGCCTTAGTCACACGCAGACACAGAATACTTGGTGGAAGCAGGTCCCACAATCACCACCAGTGATGAGCTTGCAAAACAGGCTTAAAGAATCCTTTCTTAAGTCGGCTAAAAAATGAGCTTGCAGAGAGGCTCACAGCATCTTGACACTCAGAGAGACAGGCGTATCGGAGCAAGGATGCAAATCGGAGCCTGCCCCTCTCAAGTTCGGTCCATTCATCCGTCCACTCAGAGAGACAGGCGTATCGGAGCAGCGATGCCTAGTTTTGTTCCTTCTGGTGTTGTCCGTTCTGCTTTCGTCCCCTCCTGCTTTGGTCACACGCAGACACGGAATTCGTGGTGGAAGCAGGTCCCACAATCACCATCTGTGACGGGCTTGCAGAGCGGCTCAAGGCGGAATGTGCGGGAACGCTATGTGAGTGGCGGCCTTGTGATTGCGTGCTTGTGAGTGGGTTCTTGTGAGTGGGTGCTTATTCCCTTTCCTTTCCTTTCCTTTCCTTTTTCCTCTCCCTTTCCTTCTCCGTTCACCCTCCATCATCGATCGCTCTCACACCTCTCCTCCCTCTCCTCCCTCTCCCGCCTCTCCTCCCTCTGCGCCTCTCCCCTGCGTGCACCCATCAGTTGGCCGCATCACAATCACCATGGATGCATATTCCTTCACCACCCAGCTTCTCACAGCGATAGGCAGAAACCTCTACGGCATCCCTTCCTTCTCAGCTGTTATCTCTTTTCAGGGGGGGTGAGTCACAGCCTTCCACTAGCAATATTCCTGCTACAGCCTTCCTGTAGCAGGCGTTTGTTTTTTTACAATTCTTGAGAGCCGCCTGCTTCCTTCACGACCATCCTCTATTCCTTCCTCCTCTCCCCTCCCTCTCTCCCCCCCCTCCTCTCCCCTCCCTCCTCTCCCATCCCTCCCTCCACTGCCTTTGTGGCCCACTTACCACCGATGCCTTCCCCCCCACAATCATCTGCTGCCATCCTTTCAACCTGACCCCTCCCACTTCCCATGCCGTTCCCCCACCACCATCTACTCTGATCCTTGTCAGTTAATGTTTCTCCCCTCCATTCCCTCCCCTCCCCTGCAATCCGCAGTGCCTCTCCGGCCCACCTACCGACGATGCCTTCCCCCCCACCACCACCTGCTGCGATCCCTTCACCCTGCACCCCTCCCACTGCCCCCCAAGCTCTCTTCCCAACCCCCAAACCGAGCCACACCCATCTTCACCACTCTCACCCCAACCACCAACCGACCTCAACCGCTCTAACTCTAACACTTCAAGTCTCAACACTTACATCGAGTATCTGAATCGTGATATCAATGTGTCTCAGTGCATGGCTGCTGAGCCTTATGCCTACCCTCCTTTGCCTAATCCATCTACCCCCGAGCCTCCTGTTCTGCCCCTTTCCTTTGACTCTCCCCAGCCACTTATTTTCTTCAAGCCTTTCTCATGTGCGACACATACCGTGCTTTGTTTAGTCACTGCAGGGTTCTTACTTTGGATTCTCATCCGCTGCACCAGTTATTTACGCATAGGATTGCATAGAGCATCAATAATGAACAGTATAAAAGTTGGTGATTCTCCGGTGGGTTTGTCTGGCAGGGAGTTTTGTGGATATATGTATTACCGTATCCCCTCTGATAGAAGCGCCTAGGAGCTGCTTGTAATATTCTGGCCATCTTTCGGGGTGCAGCTGATACCGTAAAGGAATTGTTTGTTACAGCGCTGTGGCTCTGAGAAACAATTATAATCAAGCCCCAGTGTAGTACCATCTCCTACGGTGGGCCTATTGTGGTATTCCATGCTTGAATGATTCACATTCTCAGCTTGCTTTTTCAACATATAGCAACACCATCCAGCACTTCCGCACTGCTATCACGTATGAAACATTGCTGATAGGTAGTAGGTGATTGGTAATCTCCTGTTCACAATCTATGCGGGCATGCGCAATCAATCATCCCCACTTGCGTGGAGGAGCTATAACACGCGATGTAACGCCTCCTGGTAGTTGCTTATTAAAAAATACAGTACATCAGGAAGAGACAAGGTGCCAAGATGCGGTGGTGGTCAGGGCTCTTGTCTATTGGTTGCCAATAGCCAGAGCTGTGCAGAGAAGGCCGAACACCAGGAAGGGCTGTGCGCTAGCCTGCATGTTACCAGTTGGTGTGGGGGGAGGGGAATCGGAGAGGAGACGAGCTGTGACGAGAAGGCCAAACACCATGAAGTGCCATGCGTGCACTAGCTTCAAATAATGATGGCACTACGACAAGAAGGCTAGACACCATGAAGTGCCATGCGTGCTCTACTTCAAATAATGTACACGTTTGTGGGAGAGGGGAGAAATGGAGAGGGGGAGATTGATGGCACGGTAGAAAAGGGCTTCTTTTCAAAGCCAACAGCTAGCCCTATGCAGAGAAAATGAATGTGAGCAGTACCCCCAAAGCGTTTGTTGGTAGGGGAAGCAAGAAAAAGGATAAACGCCAAGAAGGGCTGTGGGCTACCCTATTCCGCATTACTTCCTACTACACGTTACCTGGTACTTGACGTCATTCTTCATGGGATCAGGCAGGAAGAGTGTGAACTGCAGATGCACCATTGCAAGAACAAACCACCACAACAATGCAACAACCAACCACCACGACAATACACCACGACAACAATGCAACACGACAACAATGCAACACGACAAGCAGTGTGGGAGAGAGTAGACGTAGAGGAGTTAGGCCGTGATGTTGAATCGACTGAAGGTGAGAGTGAGATGCAGATGCAACATCGACTATCATCTTAGAAGAGAAAGACAAAGGTGACAAGAGATCTGGGATAGACATGCCAGGAAGAAGATTTGGGGGAGCAAACGAGGCCGAGCAACACATCCCCATAAACGGCCTTGAGAGTTTTCAAAAGATACCCTAAGCGCCCTCAACAGTTGTCGTACAAGAGTGAGACTGAGTGTGACAGGAGAACTGACCTGGAAGAAGATTTGGGGAGCAATGAGGCCAGAAGCACAAGCCCGTAGACAGTCTTGCCAGTGGCGAGGAGATAACCTGTGAGGAAGATGCAACAGTGAGGGAGAGGTGAGACAACGGAACAGGTGAAGGGGACCAGTCAAAGGAGGAGGAGCAATGAGGCCCAGAGCACAAGCCTGTAGACGGTCTTGCCAGTGGCGAGGAGATAACCTGCACAGGGATTGGGGGGGGGAGGGGGAGGGAAGAAGCACAAAGAAATGACAGAGGGAACAGGTGAAGGGTGAAGGAGTGAACTCAGGAGAGGGGAGCAATGAGGCAGAGCAGCACAAGCCCGTAGACAGTTTTGCCAGTGGCGAGGAGATAACCTGTTGAAGCGGGTGATGTGGGGGAAGGAGGAGATGGGAGCGGCAGAAGGAAGAAGGGAACACGTGGAGGTGAGCCTAGCAGTGGGGAGCAATGAGAGCGAGGAGAGGAGCACGGGTTCACTCATCTAACAAGTCGTGGCATTTCAGTGTGCTTCTCACACCTCACCTGCCACAAGAGTTTGCTGAGGAATGTCAATGCTGGCCACAAATAAATGCCTACGACTGGAGATCAGCCATGCTTTTATCTTAATTTTATGTCACAAAGAGTTCATTATTTGCAGTTTATATATCCGCCCCTCACCTGCAACAGATAGCTGAGTGACGTCAATGCTGGCCACGCAAATCCACTTGGCAGTTTCCACACCAAAGGCCACTGGGAGGGACTGCAATGGAACAAGGGGGGAAGGGAGGGGGGACGGGGGAAAAGAATTGAGGGGAAGCGGGAAGGGGAAAGGGTTGATAAAGCTGTATCCACATCGAACGCCACCGGGAGAGACTGGAGCATGGTCCAGTAGAGGCGAGCAATGAAGGAAATAAAACAAAGGTTGGAGGAAAGGGGGGAAGGGGGGCAACAAGGTCCATTTGTTTCCCTCAAACCAACAAACTACCCATCTGTTCCCATCAAATCTCAATGCCTTCCACCCACCTACACTCACCACGCACCTGCTCCCCAGCACCCACCTGCTCCCCGGCACCCACCTGCTCCCCGGCACCCACCTGCTCCCCGGCACCCACCTGCTCCCCGGCACCCACCTGCTCCCCGGCACCCACCTGCTCCCCGGCACCCACCTGCTCCCTGGCACCCACCTGCTCCCTGGCACCCACCTGCTCCCCGGCACCCACCTGCTCCCCGGCACCCACCTGCTCCCCGGCACCCACCTGCTCCCCGCACCCACCTGCTCCCCGGCACCCACCTGCTCCCCGGCACCCACCTGCTCCCCGGCACCCACCTGCTCCCCGGCACCCACCTGCTCCCCGGCACCCACCTGCTCCCCGGCACCCACCTGCTCCCCGGCACCCACCTGCCCCCAGCACCCACCTGCTCCCCGGCACCCACCTGCCCCCCAGCACCCACCTGCTCCCCGGCACCCACCTGCCCCCTAGCACCCACCCACCCCCCCCAATAGGCACCTGCAGGCCATCTTGCGGTCGCCTCCAATGCTCTTGAAGTCGTTCACAATAGCAATGCCCAGCTTCCTGCCACTGCGGATGCAAATACCAGTGCACCCTACCATGCACCTGCCCGTACCTGCCCCCAGCCTGCACCTGCCCCTACCTGCCCCCAGCCTGCACCTGCCCCTACCTGCCCCCCACCACACACGAAACTGCCTGGCCCCACCTGCCCCCAGCACCCACCTGCAGCCCATCTTGCGGTCGCCCTCAATGCTCTTGAAATCGTTCACAATAGCAATGCCCAGCTGTTTGGGCGAACGGTGGGGCGAGTGGGGAAGAGGAGGAAAAGAAGAGATGGAAGGGAGAAGGCGAATCGAAAGTTGTTCGCTTTAATGAAGCCCAGCTGCCAGGGTAAACTAAGGGGCGATTGGGAAGACGAGCAAATAGCGTCCAGATTAGCAATGCCCAGCTGCCAAGCAGCGGGCCGAGCAAAAACGCGTTAAATAAGACTCAACTCTTAACAGCTTACCCCGGCAATGATGTAGAGGGGAGTGAGCACCACTATCTCATCGAATGTGAGTGCAATGCATTCATTTGCTAACGGTTCGGAACAAGCTTTAAATTCTGACAGCTTACCCCGGTAAAGAAGAGAGAGAGTGTACATTATCGTTGTCCTACCTATAATGCTTTAAAGAATACTCAATTCTCTAACAGCTTACCCCGGCCATGCTGTAGAGGAGAGTGAGCACCACGACGTCAAAGGTCAGCGTGCAAAGAGAGCTTGTCCCGCCACCTGCCAGGTTTCCACACACAGGAGGGCACACAGGAGGGATAAA